TATGAATAGAAAATGAACACTCAAGTTCATAAATGGGACAAACAAGATGAGAGGAAATAATATTCATAATTTAAACAGTTAAAACAGTAAAATTCTATTCTAATGGTACAATGGACTGTGAACTTACTTAGTATTAATTAAACTCAGTGTAATGGCATTTTCTATATTGAAATGAATAACCAGTGATCTGGAAATTCATTTAGACCATTAGGTTAATTACAGAAAGCGATGGAAGTTTTATCAGACAATTACAATTAAAGAACACGAACAATGTGGGACAGATTTATAAGCATTTGTACCACCTCAATCATTTTTGCTGAATTCCACCACCACTTCTTCCAAAACTGTAATCAATATATCAATTAAAAAATGGGCCATCAACTTCATTTGCCCTTGAGTATGATAAAATAAAACGAATTAATATCGGATTTTGCATTTTCGTATTTTTCTTCTTTTAATTCTATCACTTGACTGCAGTATGAAAGATTTATTTAGGAGCTGATAAGCAGACTTACTGAAGATGAAACAGCTCTAACATTTAGGAAAACTAAGCCAAAATTGACTTCAGTTTAAAATGTACTCATTGAAGTCAAGGCAAAATTCACTTTTATGGGCATGCTACACATTTGGGAAATAGAGATGTTCATCTGCACATCATTCTGAACAAAGGCATGGAGAAACTTAAAATATTTTATCATAAATGTGAGCTGTCCATGTAGCTAACAGCAAAGGATCCCTTCAATGTAAGCTCAGAAAAATCCACTAGTAGCTACACACTCAATAACTCGAGTATCTTAATGCTTACTTGGAGCTAAAATAAAGTCTAAAAGTTTCAGAGATCAAAGTGCTGATTTAGAGAGTAAAAAAAAAAATATTTAGCTGCCTTGGAACTTCCCTTTAAATTTTAAATTCCATCTCTCTCCTTGCCCTCCACAGGGCCTGGGTAGGGACAAATGGACATTCCTGAGGGAGGGGATGCACAGCTGGAGGGGGGATGCACAGCTGGAGGGGGGATGCACAGCTGGAGGGGGGATGCACAGCTGGAATCTGCTGCCTCACCACACCAGCAAGGGGTGGGTGAGCCCAGGAGTGCTGGGAGCCAGCCCAGAGCATGAAATTTCTACTAGAAATGCATCTTCTCTTCCACGCCCTGCCACCAAGGACAGGGACATTATCAGGGGACAGAGCCAGGCACACGCTGGGAAGAAAAGGGACAATAAATGTGATTTGCACCCAGAGAGGTTTCTGCTGCCAGGACATTCAGTCTTGGAATAAGTGATCCCCTGAAATTGTGCAATCTCCATCCTTAGAGGTGTTCTGGTGCAAGCAGGTTCTTCCCAACTGAATAACTTGACAATTCTACAATTTCACATCTTCCTTCTTGCCCATGCTTTGGCTCTCATGAGCTCCTGCTTCATTCAAATTTTCAGGCACTTGTGCATTATAGTAAAATTGGGGAAAATACGCGTAAAACAGTTTTTAAAAGTTCTTGCATTTAATTTAGATTTGTATTTTTGCCTCTTTGATCCATACATGCCCAGCTCTGTTACTGTCCTTGGCAGAACAGTGATACAGACATTCAGGGACAAAAATATTTTTCTCTTCTTTTGAATCTTCCTTTTGTCCAGCAGGGTCTTAATTTTCTCATGCATCCTACTCACGTGTGGCTCCAATTTGGAAAACTTCCAAAACTATGCTTGACACATTTCTTATTTATCAATAGATACAAATTTCTTCAGGATTTTAAAATTCCTTGTGGAAATAACTGTTCTAAAGAGTGAGGGTAAAAAGAGATTGTCAGTTATGAGCAGCCAAATTGTTCCATTTATTTTCAGGGAGATATTCTGGGCCTCTAGGAAGAATCCAGTGAGTGCTGATTCACTGGGATTTGGTGAACTCCAATCATTCCTGGCTGGATAGATTGGATTCTGCATTATGGTGATGATGAAGGATTTAGTTGAAATCTGTTGTATCAGTTCTGCCCTGGAGATGGCATTCCTGCTGGAATCTACAGCAGCCAAGGTTTTCTGCCTGGATTTCCTGCCCCTGGTTGTCACAGGACCTGCCCAGCCCAGGGATGGGAGCACATTGGCATGCTGAAACTCTGCTTTCTGGATAAAAAATTATCTATTCCAACAATAGGTGTGCAAATGAAAAACTGATCCAGGTCCCATCTTCTCCTTCAGCATAAGAGAACAGATGAGGCATGAGAGACTATTGCTGCTGATTTGTTCCACTGCTTGCAGAAGAAACAGCTCATTTCTTTCTGTATTATGTGAAGGGCCAGAAGTGATGGAAGGAAGCAGAGCCATGTTTCCACCTCCTGACATATGCAGAGGTGTAACTAATCATTGTGCTGGGAAATGTATAGTGTGATACATAAAATATATCCTGGAAAAATAAAATATCAGAAAGCAAAGAGTAGCTCCAGGAATAGCAGTTTGCTTTCTGGAGAGCCAGTGGGTAAAAGTGCTCAGAGCCATCAGGGGCTACCAGTGGCCAGTACAACTACAAACCAACAAGTTCAGTGAGAAACCAAGCCAGCCAAATTAAGAAAAATACATCTTTCAACCATATTCCAGCCCTTCATGCCTTATAATTCAGGAGCAAAAGATGAACAGTCAAGTTAGACAACACTTTGAAAAACATAAAATATAAAATACCCTCTTCCAAATATCTGAAAACTCCTAAGAGCCATTAGCACTCTGTGAAATTCAAGTATCTTGGATGGCTTTAGAAAAATCCCAGCAGACTCTTTCCCTTCTGTTAAAACAATTACAAATTGAAAACCTCTTAATTCTTCCACTGTAAGTGGTTGTAAAATATCACAGTTACAATATCAGCAGTAACAGAATAAACGATTAACAAATTATTCAAAAAGGAAGGCTGAAATATTGTTGTCTACATGGAATGATAATAGTACAAGTATTCATCTCCTAGACACTAATGTTGACTTATCAGTTATAATTTCAATATTACAAATGTGCACTAAAATGGAATATAGAAGATCTTTAAACTAATAAAAGAAATGAGACAAAAGTCAACCTTCATTTCTATTCGCTATTTCTGGGGGAATTTCCTATAGAAATGAAGCTATTTTACATGTTTATTGAAAGTTTTGTAATAAGGAGGAATAAAAACCTAATTACAATATGTAGTAATTGTAGTAATTTTGTGTTATTAGGAGTTGTGACCCTGTGGGGGAAACTGCATTTTGGCAAGAGGAAATTCTATACATAATAAAGGAAAAATCATGACTTGCCAGCTCACAGATCCAACAAAAGTGTAATAATTTCTACTGCAATGGCTACCAGCAATGCCTGCTATGAAACTGTGTATTCCACATTGCCCAGTGGGAGACAGATAGGCAAAGCTTGTTTATTTATGTATTTGGCATAATTGAAAACAAACAGGTGTTTGTTAGGATATCATTATTCAAGGAGCACCACTGCAAAATAAGATTTTTCAACAGGACTGACTCAGGAGACACAAAGGAAACAGAGAATTTAAGAGCTCAGCTTGCTCACAGGGTCTCTTTGGGGAATCAATATTACTGGAAATAATATCTGATGGAAACAACAATCCCAGAAACAAAATTACTGGGGTACAACTCAGTGAGACAACAGGAGCAACAGGGTGAACTTAGGAAAAGCTTTCAAAGAAGACCAAATTTCAAAAAATTATAACAAACGCTCTTCTCTAAAAGGAAGCTCCTAATAGTGAGATTAGTAAAATGTTTGGATCATTTTCCAGGAAAATAATTGTCAGTCAAAAAGGAGTGCACTAAAACTTTCCAAAAGGGAGCATTATTTTAAACTGTAAGTATTTCATATCTCTGTGTAAAAAAATTTGTAAAAAATCCCCACTGCTAGGGAAAGGTGACATATGAGAAAATATTCTTGGAGCACCTGGAAGAAAATGCAGACTTAACTGACAATTTAATTTGCAATTGAAAACACTTGATGCATTTGGTTAGTTCACTATGCATTTGTACGCTCCAGACTTGTCATTTAAAGGGGATCCCATATGAATCCTGGAAAAGCAGCAGCTCTAGGGATGCCATTGATAATGTTTGACATAAAAGAATTACATGACTGTAGAGATGATCACTGTGGAACTCTTTTGTCCTAATTCCTGGATTTAATTTAAAAAATGATTATTTTAGCAGTCTAGATAAGCTCTAAGAGAGTAGAATTGCATTCTGGATTGAATACAATCTTCATAAAGAGCATATCTGATAATGCTGTTAAATCAGAGCATGTATTTTCTTTACAAGGAACACAGAGCCAGGGCTGCTACAAGCAGCAGTTACTGCTCCTGCATTCAGCTCCAGGTTTCTCACCCCACTAGAGGCCAGAATGAGAATCAGTGGTACCACCAATCCAGTCTAAAATCCTCTCAAAAAAGGTTTCTGCTCAGAATTTCAGAGGACACATGTCTACTTCAAAATTTTGTACAGAAAAATGGCTGATGGCAGCATCCACCACGTCAGCTTGTCTCTGTTCTTTACACTAGGGCAGCTTTTTATGCCTCAAAATACCTCCCTTCATAAAGACTGTTCCTTTTGTAAAAAATTATTTCATATATAATTCCCGACCCAATCAAATGATGGCATGGTAACATATGCTTTGTGTATTAAATCACAGTTGTGAGCAGGACAGAAGAAACACAACATCTTCTACACAAAATGCAGAGCACACAACAGTAGTGGATTGCAAAAACTGTCACTGTTATTGTAGAACTTTTGACCATTTCTATACAATATTGCAATATAGGCTTTTTTTTTTTTCATTTTTTAAAAAATAGAATATACTTTGAGAATAAAGATGCAACTGAAAACACTGAATTATCTGTTGACATGACTTACATATGTTTATAAACACCACATTTACCTTAACAAGAGCTGTTGGGAAAGTTGACATTTTTAGGGGGGCTTAATTCACAATAATGTGCTTTTGTCACAAAAACAGAACAAGAAACGAGCCATAACACTAGCTTACTTGTGGATGTGTATACTAGTGAACTGGGGGCACTGTACACGGGAGATCCCTCCTGGTTTGCCTGGCACAGCAGCACCCTGCCTACAAGAAAGAGAGAGAGAGTGGTATCTGGTTTTGGAACACTTCAACTGAACCTCAGTTTTTCATCCCAAAACACAAATCAAGGCACAACCGGAATGGCGCACTGAAACTGAACCGGGGCTGCTTTTTG